GCTGAGTTATATGAGTAATGCTGATGACTTCACAGGTTTAGATAGTATTATAATCAAGACTGTTTGGTGTGATGACCCACTACAATACGTATTCTTTTAGTTGTTTTGCCATTTCAGTTTCCTTTAGGATTTTACTTTCTAAGTTACATTTGTCAAGTCCCTAAAATGTAGCCGTGCATCTGAAATTTATTCTTTTGTTGAGAATTTTACAGGTTCAGAAGATGTGAGAAGCTTCTTTGTGTGAAGAACATCCCAAAGTCCAGGCACTCCTCTAAAACATGTACTTAATCCTTGCTTTGGCTTATTGACGAGAGCTCTGTTGACCACAATAACTTCTATCACGTGGGCTGACTTTACATCGATTGGAAGAACACACTCTGAGCAGCACTACTATTTGAGTGCATAACCTCAGTTTTATTCGTATGATTCATAGAGAGATGAGGAAATTAGATCAAGGATTTCCATGGGAATCATAATCTAAAAGATGTAAACAAACTTTCCTAGTTTTAGATAACATTGCTGTGAGCTCACTGCTTGTATTCAATAAAGTCTCTGGCTATCACACTGAATCCACACTAACTTTGACCTAACAGTTAGCACTTGTTCTAATGTTCAGATATGTTATTTTTATTTTAATGTCTCTAGATTATAATGTGTGGCTGTTTTAGCCAAGAGTGAAGGAAAGCAATGATAACTGACTATAAATGAGAAAAAGCACAACCTAATGATATGAAAGTCAGGACATGATGTCTCAGGCTTGTCTATTTCAAGGATTCATGTACCCAAGGGATTTCTTTTGTCAATTTTACACAGAGCAACACCCAAAATGTCCATCTCCCCTCCCATTGACTCTTATCATCTGTTGCTATGTCAGTTTGCTTGAACTTTTAGTCTCAGCTCCACCCAATTTGCTGCAAAAATAGGATTTCATTCCTTTTACAGCTGCATAGTAATGCACTGTGTATAAGTACCATGTTTTCATCCAGTCTATAACCGATGGGCATATAGGTTGATCCACATCTGTGGTACTGTGAACGGTGCAGTGTTACACATGAGTGGATGTGTCTTTTTGTTATAATAATTTGTTTTTTGAGGGCATATACCCAGTAATGAGATTGCTAAGGAATGGTAGCTCTGCTGTTTATTCCTTAAATTTCCAGTCTGATTGGCACAGTGCTTGGAGCAAGTTACATTTTCACCAAAGTATCTCAGTATTCCCTTTTCTCTATAGCTTTGCCTGCATCTGTTAATTTCTGATCTTTTAGTGATAGTAATTCTGACAGGTGTCAACCAGTATCTCCTTTGGTTTTGATTTGCACTTATCTGACGATTGATGACACTGTGCATTTTATATGTTACTTATTCACTCGTATGTCAATGTTTGAGAAAGCGCTATAATGCATGTCCTTTCCCCATTTTAATAGGGTTATCTAGTTTATACTGATGATTTAAGTTCCTATAGACTACCATATTACACACACTAAGATAACAAGTATTCAAAAATGAAATAGAAAAACGTAATCACTTGTAGGCAAAGACACATTGAATTTGGAATGGTCATGGTTGCCGGTTGGTATTGAAATGGGACAACAACTTTGGAAAATGGTCTTCACGGAAAACCTCATACAAACGTACCTGGTGTCACCATTCACAGTAATAGTTAAATGGAGAATACAGCTGAAGTACCCATCGGCTGCCACAGGGATGAAGATGCTGCGGTGTGTCTGTGTGTCTGTAACCCACAGGGATGAAGACGCTGCGGTGTGTCTGTGTGGCTGTAACCCAGCTTTAAGAGGAGTGAAGCACTGACATAGGCTGCAACTTGGATGAACTTTGAAACATTGACTGAGTGAACTGAGGCAGGCTGATCCGCATCCCAAAATTGTCTCATGGATATGAAGTATGGAGAGCAGAAATCCCCAAGAGACAGATCTCAGGAGGTGAGTGGAGGGAAACAGTGACTGCTTAATGGAAGTGAGATTTCCTTTTTGGTGAACAAAATGTTCCAAAACCAAATAGTGGTGATAACGCACAGCATTGCAAATATGTAAGTATCACTGGCTATCCCCCACATACCGAGGCTAAAATGGTAAATTTTATGTTATGTGTATCTTAACACAATAAAAATGAGTGCCACATTTTGTTTAGTGAATCAACAATAATAACATCTCGGTTTAAACGCTGGATTCCCCAGCAGAACCAGGACTTCCTCCTGGAGCTGGATCGGTGTGTCTGTGTGGCTGTAACCCAGCTTTAAAGAGGAGTGAAGCACTGACATAGGCTGCAACTTGGATGAACTTTGAAAACATTGACTGAGTGAACTGAGGCAGACACAGAAGTCCGCATCCCAAATTGTCTCATGGATATGAAGTATGGAGAGCAGGAAATCCCCAAGAGACAGATCTCAGGAGGTGAGTGGAGGGGAAACAGAGTGACTGCTTAATGGAAGTGAGATTTCCTTTTTGGTGAACAAAATGTTCCAAAACCAAATAGTGGTGATACTTGCACAGCATTGCAAATATGTAAAGTATCACTGGCTATACACATACCGAGGGCTAAAATGGTAAATTTTATGTTATGTGTATCTTAACACAATAAAAATGAGTGCCACATTTTGTTTAGTGAATCAACAATAATAACATCTCGGTTTAAACGCTGGATTCCCCAACAGAACCAGGACTTCCTCCTGGAGCTGGATCCATCAGCCCCCAGGGAAGGGACTGGAGTGGGTCAGGTGCACAGGTTATGAAGGGAGCACAAATTCCAACCCACTCCTCGAGAGTCCAGACACCACCTCCAGATCTATGTTCAAAAACAGTTCTTCCTATGGCTGAGCTATGGGAGCAACAGGCACACAACCATGTTTGTTTGTTTGTTTGTTTGTTTGTTTTTCAGAGAGTGTCTTGCTGTGTCACCCAGGCTGGAGTGCAGTGGGACAATCTTGGTTCAATACAACCTCCACATCATGGGTTCAAACGATTATCCAGCCTCAGCCCCCAAGAAGCTGGGACTGCAGGCACCCATCGCCACACTTGGCTAATTTTTGTATTTTTGGTAGAGATGGGTTTTCACTATGCTGGCCAGGCTGGTCTTGAACTCCTGACCTTGTGATCCACCTGCCTTGGCCTCCAAAAGTACTGGGATTTCAGGTGTGAGCCACTGTGCCCAGCCACAAACAAGTATTTTTAAGCAAAAGACACAGTGAAGAGACATCAGTGTGAGCCCACACACAAACCTTCCTGTGGGGGTTTACAAGACAGCAGAGGGTGCTGAGGACAGAAGCCAGCACCCAGGAACCAGCAGGGAAACCCAGGGGGCACATAGCACCGCATGAAGTCTCAGGAACACTGTGGGGCTCAGTGGTCAGGCAGGCTCAAGGGTCAGCCTCAGAGCAGGTGTAGCAGGTGGGGAAAGGCCTGAAGACAGGCTTTAGTGTCACCTTCTTATTCCACCACTAGACACTACATCTATTCTAATGTGTATGAGTGTTTATGTGTTTAGAGAATAACATTTATATTATGAATGTATAGCCATATGTGGGTGCATCAAGTTACCCTCTTCAACCTATGTGGACTCTGTTCATTAGGAATCAGTCCATGCATTTGAGGACCTCACAAATTAATACTTACGTAGAATCACTTTATTTTCAGTCTCCTTTCCTCCCTCTTTCTTTCTTTCTTTCTCTCTCACACACTGACATACGCACGGGGTGCCGTAAGGTTAATTACCTGAGGTATTACAGAATATTGATTTATTTGCAACTTGACCACTTTAGATGCTGTTCCTGTTGTTGTCAGATCTAGAACATGTTTCTCTGCTGCGTACTCCTCTAAGCTGAGGGGCAGCTTTATCTCAAATACACAGAAACTGAAAACAATCCAAATACCAATCAGCACCTTATCAGTAAACAAATTGTGGAAAAGTCGTTTATTGGAATAGTACCCACTACTGCAGTCAGTTAATGTTGGATCCAATCAACAGCGTGGTTCATTTCACAAGTACATGCGATGAGTATAATGAGCCAAAGCACATACGTATGATTCCGTTTTATAAACTGTGCAAAGTGAATACTCATTGGAAGTTACGTAACAAAGATCCCTAACTGACTTCTCCATGGTAAGAGAAGCGAAGGTATAGGAAGGAGAAATTGCGGGAGACAAAGAGAAATTTGAGAGGCGAATTGATTTGTTTTCTCTGTGAACGGTGATTAGGTCAATGTCTGTCAAGTGGAGAACATACTATGTGAAGATTATGTCAGTATTCCCTCATTAAAACTATTAAAAATAAAAGTCTAATGTGGTAGAAGATGAGGAGAGAAATAAAAATCATACAAGAAAAGTCATGAACTCCTGAATACTCACATGAATTAACCCTCAGTTTTTCTGTATCACTTAGAAGGACACCAAGATACAGCCAAATAATATCACAGTATCATTATAAGAAGATTGTTTTGTAAACCTCACTTGGAATTTCTAGCTCTTTCCTAGAGTTAATGTAGGGAACAGTTGGATCCAATTGTGAGAAACGCAGGCCAGACACTGAGACTGGCTCTTACCAGATGTGAGCTCTTAGACGTGTCACATGGCCCCTCCATACTTGGGGGTTTACATTCACGTCTGTAAATGAAGGAAGCATTGACTCCCAAAGAATATATTTCATGTGCATGTAAAAGTATGAAGGCTAATGAGAATTAATTTTTTTTTTTTTTTTTTTTTTTTTGAGACGGAGTCTTGCTCCATCGCCCAGGCTGGAGTGCAGTGGCGCAATCTCGGCTCACTGCAAGCTCCGCCTCCCGGGTTCACGCCATTCTCCTGCCTCAGCCTCCTGAGTAGCTGGGACTACAGGTGCCCACCACTGTGCCCGGCTAATTTTTTTTCTATTTTTTAGTAGAGACGGGGTTTCACCATGGTCTTGATCTCCTGACCTTGTGATCCGCCCGCCTCGGCCTCCCAAAGTGCTGGGATTACAGGCGTGAGCCACCATGAGAATTAATTACTTAGGAAGTATAATCACCCACATCCACTCTTGGACACAGCCCACTCTGATGCATCCCTTACAGAACTCATTATATAGTAGGGGACATGCAAATAGGGTCCTCCCTCTGCTTATATGAAAACTAACCCAGCCCTGACCCTGCAGCCCTGGGAGAGGAGCCCCAGCCCTGAGATTCCCAGGTGTTTCCATTCAGTGATCAGCACTGAACACAGAGAACTCACCATGGAGTTTGGACTGAGCTGGGTTTTCCTTGTTGCTATTTTAAAAGGTGATTCATGGAGAAATAGAGATGTTGAGTGTGAATGAACATGAGTGAGAGAAACAGTGGATCTGTGTGGCAGTTTCTGACCAGGGTGTATTTCTGTTTACAGGTGTCCAGTGTGAAGTGCAGCTGGTGGAGTCTGGAGGAGGCGTGGTACAGCCTGGGGGGTCCCTGAGACTCTCGTGTGCAGCCTCTGGATTCACCTTTGATGATTATGCCATGGGCTGGGTCCGCCAAGCTCCAGGGAAGGGTCTGGAGTGGGTCTCTGGTATTAGCTGGAATAGTGGTAGCACAGGTTATGCAGACTCCGTCAAGGGCCGATTCACCATCTCCAGAGACAACGCCAAGAACTCCCTGTATCTGCAAATGAACAGGCTGAGAGCTGAGGACACGGCCTTGTATTACTGTGCAAAAGATACACAGTGAGGGGAAGTCAGTGAGAGCCCAGACAAAAACGTCCCTGCAGGAAGACAGGAGGGGCCTGGGCTGCAGAGGGCACTCAAGACCCACTGAGCACAGGGTTCATTCTGGGGCAAGTTGCGCAAGAAGGTTAAGGGCTGGTTTCCTTTCAGAGTCTTAGCAATTCCTCCATCTAACAGTTTCCCCAGGAACCCTGTCTAGATCTGTGATCTGGATCTACCAAGACTGCCTGTGTCACCTTCCTCACCTGTGACTTTGGGGAGCTGATCGTGGACACTCCAGTGTGTAGGATTTCTTGGTGACAGCAATTGTGTCTTCTGTCTAGGCGTGTCTAGGATCGGCCATCAGGAAGGACAGGCTGGAATTCTTGGAAAGAGGCGCACCTGCCATCCATCAGGGAATTTTGTTGTCTTTTGTTCTGCTAGAATAAAATCAGGCACACCCAGGATAACTAGTACTATCTTCCTAGCTCAAGAAACTGGATGGCAGGTTTGAATAACACCTATATGAAACCATCAGAGCAACACCTAGATTCGAGTCTCATTTAATAATTGAGACTATGTTCTAACCAAGGAGACACCTAAAACTGGTGATTGCTGTGGTCAGTTCATATTTGTCAATAGAATCTGGCTGGTATTAGAAACAGCTTTGCCAAAATATGTGTGTTAGTGTTGGTCTTCAGAGAAGCACATTCTATGACTGGATTAGGTTTGTGTACAGTTCCCTAAGGAACGCGTCCATGCTTTTGAGAGGAAATGCAGAGGGAGTGGAAGGAGACTGGGGAATCTGAAGGCATGTGAGGGAAGTCAGTCCCTGAGTGAAGGAGAGAGGGAGGAGGACTAGGAGGAACTTTCTTAAACTTCTGTGCTGTTCTAGAAAGTCCAGCAAGGGCACTGAGTCAGAGTCGTGTCAAAGTTTCCCATCGGGGACCCAGTGACTCCCAGCAGTGGCTCTGCTCAGATCAGCGCAGAGCTCGTTCTTCTCCTGAGAGTGGAGCCCAGGACGGGGCTCCAGCACCAGCCATGGCATGGAAGACAGAGTGCAGCCCCGGGCACCTGGGTCAGGTGCGTTGTGCTGCCTGAAGTTGGAGGGAGGGAGGTGCTGACTCAGGGCCCACACGGTGTGGGTTCTATACAGAACACAGGCTTTTAATTCATTTCTGTGGATGACATAGAAACAAACATGCAGTCTGTAAACAATGGTGATTTCTAATTTGTCCCAATTGCTTTATTCCTTGATTCCACAGAATGTCCTGGAACAGAGTTGCCTTTCTCATGTGGAATTGTGACGTGTTGAGGATGTGTGATCCCCCCTTTCATTGTTTTCCTCCATGTACAGAGATCCTGAGTAGCAAACAGCTGACTGTCCTTCTGCACTGATCCTCTCCTCCCCACAGGAAGAGCAGATAATTACCTGAGGCTGACTCTGAGGTGGGATCTGTCCTGTGCACCTCAGAGCCTGCCGAGACCCCCGGTTGCAGATTCATGGGGTCAGGTGTTTGTGCCTGTGGGAACCTCGAGCTGTTCTTTTGTCAGTGAACACTGCTTAGAACTAATTGTGGGTTCAGAATTAGGACACCCCCTGAGCTATCACACCTCAGCTCATTCTGCCACTCACAATCTCCAGAAATTCAGGAAATTGTTGAGTTTACATTTTTGTGCCGAGTTGTTCTTATTTCACTCAGTTGTGAGTTTGTTCAGCAGAAAGTGCCACCATTGATGGGTCTCCACCTGATGTAGCTCATTTGCCTCCACAGAAGTTAGGAGGCTCCTGAAACTTCTCATCCGCCCCTCTCTTTGATCTTCATGTGAAATTCCGTTTCACCTGGAATTCCGGTGTGTTGGTTTAGCCAGATTTCCCATCCTCCATGTGTGATTTTCCTGGGTGTCTGATCAAGTTCCTTGCCCTTCACTGTACCTCGGTGATGTCGAATCATCCTGGCCCAACATCAACAAGAATCCTGGCAGGTTGGTTTAAGGAGATTTGGCCACGCCCCTGATGTTTCCGCTTAGTAATTTTCCATCTTCCAGACCCTACCCTGCTGCTTGGTTGTAAATCCTCACGTTCCCATTCTGCATTTGGAGTTCAGCTGAATCTCTCTCCTCACAGCAAAACACCATTGCCCAGTCCCTACACCTACCATGAGGACCCTGGATAAAGCCTTCCTTTCTGTGCTGGAACAAGTGTCTTTCCTGGATATTTTTTGTTTGATAAATCTATCTTTAGTGCTTCCTAATTGCTCAGGGAACCTCAAAAAAATAAGTGCGATAATCCATTTTACTATCATGTGTGTATGTGTGAGTTTCATTTACCATGTGTGGTGTCCAGAAGTCCTGAGAACCAACACTTTGCTTCTCTGTCAATTCTTTCTTACAGAGCACAAGTCATCCAACATGAGTAAATAGGCCATTGGTTTTCGTTTTACTGTTTAGGGACAAACATGTTTCACTTACCCTGAAGCTTCATGAACACATTGATGAAAGGCAGATGGAGGACTTGTTTGGAAATGCCAGATTTATGGTAGACTTAACCACCCACATGTGTCTGGAGGTCTTCTTAGGATTCTAAGAACAGGATGTTTTTTCCACCACAGGACAAGGATGAGAACCTCTGATCTGTGATGATAAAGGACAGGCAGAGACCAAGGACAGGCAGGGCCATGTGAGGACAAGGATGCGCTGCTGTCTTGTCTGGGGTGTTCTCTCCTAGCAACGCCTCCATCTCCTTCCTCACTCTGTGGTATCTGTCAGATGCGAAACTTGCCTAGAATTTATTTTGACATACAGATGGAAGCCCAGGCTGGAGGCATTTGACAGCTTTTTTCTGAACCTACTTCTTTATGGAATGCCCAGATCCCTTGCTCTCCTTCCTGGTTCCTAACACCTTTAGCTCCCTTCTCCTCCCGCACCCATCCACTGCCTATTTACTGCCCCTTCCCCACACCCTTCACTCTAGCACAATTTTCTTGGGCTCCTGGGAAACACAACAGCTTTGGTTCAACTCACAGCTCAGGCACACTCATGGGTCCCTCCAGAGCCTCTCAACTTTCCTCCTACAGTCCCTCAGCTCCTCCTTGTGGTCCTAACTCGGCCATCTCTACCCTCTCTGCTGAGCCTAACCATCCACAATCCATCCCATCGGGATTTGTGTACAGCAGTGGGTTAACTCAGCAGGCCTGAATTGGTCAGACCCTGCGCGTTCCTAAAAAAGGAAATAACTAAAAAAATTAAAACTTTTCTTCATTTATGGCTCTCTCTTACCTCCTGGGATGAGGTCTCCAAGTCCATAAAATATTCCACCTGATAACAGTGTCTGTGGATGTCTGCAGCCTTGAAACATGTGGTACGAGTTTAATCACAAGTTTATATATAGTGTATTTGCGAGGGTGTGTATATATATGCACATATACATATACAACATGTTTTCCTTATCTAATCATAATAAATAGACACTAAGTTTGGTACCATATATGTGCTACTATGAATAACACAACAATAAAAATAAATGCAGGCATCTGTCTAATATAAAATTTATTTTCCTTTGAGCCAATACCAAGTAGTGGAGTTGCGGAATCAAATATTACTTCGATTATTAGTTCTCTGAGAAGTTTGCATACTGTTTTCCATACAGCTTGTACTAATTTACATTTTCTCCAACAGCGTATATGCACTACTGTTTCTCTGTATCCTCACCAACATCTTGTTTTTCGTTCAATTTAGTTTTTATTTTTAACTTTTTAATAATAGCTAGTCTGACTGGTTTAACATGGTTTCTCATTGTGACTTTAAATTGTATTTCTGTGATGATTAATGCCATTGATTGTTTTTTCATATGCTGGTTGATGATTTTTATGTCCTGTTTTGAAAAATAAATGTCTGTTTATTTGCTCACTTTAAAATGAGGTTATTTGTGTTTTCTTGTGTTGTGTTTGTTTCTTGCACATTCCAAATATTAGTTCTTTGTCAGACGTAGGGTTTACAAATATTTTTCATCTTTCTGTAGGTTTTCTGTTAACTTTGTTGATTTTTTATTTTGCTGAGCACGTATTGCTTTTTAATTTTCTTCTGAGGAAGGTGAAATTGTGCAAGTAAACAGTGTGACTGGACATGTCCTGTGTGAAGTTGTGTTCTGGAAAGATCATCTCCAGTCCTGGCTGGATCCAGTAGGTGCCCCCAGACCCTAAATCCTAAAGCAGCGACTTGTATTCCTTAAACAGATGATATTCCAATGAGGAAAGCTGTTCTCAGGTGAGCTGCAGAGCAGGGAGGGAGGAGATTTGGAGGTGTCCTTGGCTCTCCCAGAATTGCTGAAACTTGAAGACCAAGGCCACCTCCTCATAGATGGAGCAGAGATTCCACTGCAGGCATCATGTCGGCTCTGTTCTGTGAACCTGGGGCCGGGGAGGTGAAGCAATGCGATTTATATTACTTTCTGCTAACGCAGTGTGCTTCAGGAGAAAATTTGAAATTTGAAAATTTAATAAATATGCTTTTACTTACATTATGCGTAGAGAATATGAATATTTCATATCGATGCAAGTGTAGTCACTTCAGAGCTGGCCAGCAGAAGGAGCAAGTGCATAACTGGAGAGAAGAAGCAATCTTGCCCCAGGAAGCAGGTGCGCTAAGACCATCCTGAGAACTGCCCTCCAGATGTTATGTCAGTGGAACCTGGGCTCATGCCTGGGGTCTTCTGCGTATCAGGAGAGGCAGAGCACAGCCCAATTCTCACCGTGACCCAGGATGACCCTTCCTCCTATTCACCCAATCAGGCACAAAAACGACGCCCGCCAGGGAGCCCGGCCTGTAATCCCAGCACTGGGGAGTGCTGAGACGGGCGGATCACTGAGGTCAGGAGTTCGAGACCATCCTGGCTAACACGGTGAAACCTGCCTCACGCGCCTAAAAAATACAAAACTAGCTGGCGCAGGTGGTTTTGCAGTCCTGGCTACTCGGGAGGCTGAGGCAGGAGAATGGCGTAAACCTGGGAGGCGGAGCTTGCAGTGAGCTGAGATCCGGCCACTGCACTCCAGCCTAAGGAGCAGCGAGACCTCCGTCTCCCAAAAAAAAAAAAAAAAAAATCAAATAACAGCAGTACCTTTACCTGTAAACTTTCCGTAAGATGCCAGTGATGATCAGAATTGCATTTACTGTTGTTGCCCAATCCCTTAAATACTTCTAAAAATACCTGTGTGACTCCTCGTCTCAGACCTCAGATGACTACTCGCAGAGAGAGCACACGTTGTTTCTGTC